GCGATCACATGCAAGAACTCGATCTGAGCTCTAATCTGGTATGGGATTAGCTTTGTGTTATCAAGTGATTGTTTTCATACGGCTGAAACAGTCCTCATAACGGTGAAGATAGAGGAATTTAAATGAAGCAATCGCTCTTCAGATCGACCGATTCGCACAACATACGTTCAGTCAATGCTCACAGTTGCGACTTCTCGATTTGAGGCGAAATCCGCTTAAAGCGCTTCCATATCGCGGACTGCAAATGACCACCAAACTGAAATGGCTTCGATTGTCCGAAACACAAATTGATGTAAACATTTCTGGTGCTTCGTTTTTTGAAAAATAAATCCGATAAATTAACGATACATCTGATGAACGTTAATTATTCATATTCCCAACGAATACCTTGAAGCAAATACCGGCTGGTTGCCAGCCCTTTAAGTCGGTATTTTCAAGAAAGCGATCATGTCTTATACGGAATATTCAATTTGATTTCGAGAATTTTGATCTTTGAGGCGTTTCTTCATGGGATCAAAAGCAAATTTATTAATTGCTGATTATGTCGAATGGTACTTAATGCTACCGATTTGAGCACCCTTTGATATTAAAGATTTCATCAGCAATAATTAAAATATTTCAGGTTCTATCAGCTGACCATCTGATTGGACTGACTTCATTAAGAACTTTATCATTAAGTGATACTCCATCATTGAAATCCATTGAATCGTTCGCATTTCTACCTCTGAAATCGTTGAGAACACTCGAATTGGATCGTTCAAATCTGACGCAAATACCGCTAGCTGTTACACAGTGCTGTCATTTGAGCAGGTTTTTACTTGATTCTTCAATCAATCCAACTTGTGGATTATCCACATTGTGGCTGTGTTATTCGATCTGTTCATTATCTATCAAACTGAATTTATGGATGAGATTTAATCATATAATATGATTAAGATCAAATACATGATGCTAATTGATCAGATTAAGATGGAAACAGTAAGCTATAAGTTTGCAGTTTGCATTTATCTGGCAACTTGTTTCATCTGAAACAATCAATGCCTCCCGAGATTGTTGGACTTCTTTCACGACTCACTTATCTGGCGTTCGATTGTAATCCGCTTTCGGAATATCCCGTTGGATTATTTCTAATTCCTTTCTCTAATCATGTTAGTTATCGTTTCGTTTATACACATCCATTTTACTCTCAACAACGCTCTGATGCTCTCAATAGATACACAAAAGCTACTTTCAATTGTTGAAGAGCGTTAGAACGTTCACTAAATTTCTAGCTGAATTCGACGATTCTTATGAAATCCATATCATAAT